CCTCCCCTCCTCTCTACCCCCCGAAACACACACGCACAGAGGCTCAGCACCGTCTCGCTTCGCGACTGTCCAACTCCAATCTTGTGGCGGTGCAATACTAGAGAGCACGTGCCGTACTGGCTGGCAAGTACAGTACGAACCGCCGCTCCTGTAGTTCAAACGTTTTCATGATCCCGGCCCGCGCCGCGTGGAGGGGGGTTTGGGCCACAGCGGAGAGGAGGGGGAGAGGGAGGTGGTGCCAGGTGCCGTTTACAGTTTGGAGTGCAATGGCGGTTAGGGTGGTTAGGGTGGTTAAGCTCTTAGTTGTTGGTTGTTAATTGTGGTGGTTGCGGCTTCGTCGTGTGGTCGTTGTCGAGGTAATGGTGGTTGTAGCAGTTGCGTAGCATCGATGCGGTTTTGCTGTATGTGTGGCGATATAGTAGTGAGGTTGGTGCAGTACGGAAGATGCCCCCTTCCTCCTAGGAGTTAAATTCGGTTAGGGTTTCTGTGTCATGATGATAAGGCAGCGTGTGGCCACAGGCGGTTTAACGGTTTACGTTGTCGGTTGGGAAAACCGTGTTGCATTCATGCAGGGCCCCCCTTGCCCGCCTTCCTTGCGCCATGTGCTGTACGAATCGTCGTACTTCGGTGTGGCTGGAGATCGGCGGTGGAAGCGTTTTCTATTTTAGTTTGCGACGCACGCACACTTGGGGGGAGGGGGAAGGGAAAGAGAGGGGGGGAAGGGAATGAGCAGCAACGTGTGTGTATGTCCCGATGTTGCTTCTTCCCGCCTCCAACCCGCCTCGGCATCCGCCGGCCCCCCGGGGTCTCCCCCGGGGGTTATGGTGCCGCACATGGCCTTTGCCGTGTTGCCGGTTGTACACATCTCCCTCCCCCTCCTTGTACACACCCACACCCACAATACACATACATACATACATACATACACACGCCCACCGCGTATGTATGTACGCATGTGCCTACCGCGTATGTATGTATGTATGTATGTATGTATGTATGTGCGCGTACATCTCTTCATTTAGAGGTGGGGACCGTGACTTCCGGCCCCCTATTGACACCGGGTGAGGTGAGGTGCCTTGGGGCCTCGGGGCAGACGCGATCGCTAGTATGGGCTGTACGGCGGTTAGGTACGGCGCAGGAAGGGGAGGCAGGCGTGTATTTACGCTAAAAGTGCATTTACGGCGCAGGTGTAGAAGCACTCAGGTTTTGAGAGCATGCGTGCGTGCTGTCCCTGTCTGTGTTTGTGTGAGAAGTGTGTTGTATTCCCATTCGGCAGTTTGGTGCCTTGCAGTCAGTATGTCAGTATGTCAGTATGACGGCTAAAGGCAGTTCGCTTGCTGGTGGATATCCTGTAGCTGTGAATTTTAGGTTGGCTTTCTTTTCCGTTCACCCCGTGGTTTATCCCGATCTGCGCCCCTCCAATCCTTCCATCCCTTTTTTGAAGATAAGGGGCGACGCTGCAGAGAGACCGGGTGGGTGGGTGGAGGAGCACCTGAGTTTTGCAGAGAGGTGTTTGGGTGTCATTTTAAAGGTCATTGACGAAGAAGTGCTGGAGTCTTTCCAGGACGACGTAAGCCCATACGGACGTCATCAACCGCACCAGGATGTCTTAAAGAGTGCTTTTCCAACCCGAACGCGGAGCGTATAGCCACGGCTTGTTACTGGCTCTCGGGTCTCGCACAAAAAATAAGAAAATTTGAGAAAATTGAGAACTTTAACGCTCTGAAAAAAAACCGCAGGAGCAGGTGTAGTCATGTGGTGAAGATTTTGGAGGCGATGATGATGATAATAAGTTGGTGGGTTGTGGCGGTGGCGGTGGCGGTTGCGGTGGTTGTCCAAGGGCGGGATGACGAGGAATATATAGATATGTGTGTACACGTGTACGCGTGTACACGTGTACGTGTATGTGAGCATTTACGGTGTTCGCCGCTATCGGCGAGGAAGAGCTGTGACATGTGATCTTGTAATTGCAATCCCCTAGCTGTTAAAGCTGACGTCATTTTAGTACAGGTTAGCTGATGTGGGTCAGGTACGAAGCTGTAGGTTCGTCCTTGATCGTCGCGGTTTTGTTGTTAAGGAGAATGGACAACTGGGGTGGTAGGGATGGAGATGGCGTTGGGTTGCGTGGGAGACGTGAATTATTAAGTGGTGGCATTATGGTGCGCTATGACCAAAGTTTGTGTATTTTGATTGAAAGACAATGATGGGCGTGTGATGATGGCGGGGTGTATGTCTGTATGTGTGTTGGTGGCGTGTGGGGCACGTGGGCAGCCCTCCCCTCCCCTTCCCCCCCCGGCGCGCAAGTAGAACAACACTAGTAGACACATCACCACATACATACAGACAGACAGACACGAAGGCAACACACGGGAAGGCATTTACCCAAGGTTAGCTTAGCTTGGGGCGCTGGAGCTCTCCTGCGGCGGCGCCCCGCAGACGGACATGGTGTGGCTGCCTGTGTGTGTGTGTGTGTGTGGCCGGGGGGGACCTTCATCGCTTTTTCATCTCAGCGGCCTTCCTTGATCCGGCTGGGACGCCGAACGGGGTCGATTCCCCGCGGGGACATGTTGTGGATTCGTGCGCGGATACATTTCATTTGCCGATGCGCTTTATTATGTGGCGATCCGATGGTGTATTGGGCGGCATGGCGAGGTGGTGGGCATGTACCTTGTTGTCGAGGTGTCGCAGCTGCGGTCTGGGAGGATTGAACGAAAGGGAACTGACCAGGGAGACAGTGGGGGGGCGGGTGGGATTGGTTCCTTGTAACCGCAAGCCAAACGCATATAACCCGGGGCGCTGCTGCTGCTGCTGCTGCTGCTGCTGCTGCTGTATCACCACATGGTTTTTAAGGCGCCTGGAACCCCCTTTCCTGGTTTCCCCACCTGGGAGGGGATCTGTGTGTGTATGTGTGTATGCATGTGTATGCAGACGCATGGCTGTATGTATATGCGTGAATGTACGGATCGTCGCACGTCTTGATCAATGCAGTCGGCAGCGTACTGTGCAACAATTTGGTCGTTGGTCGTTGTTTCCGTTGGCTCCTCCATTATACGTTTCAACTGCCATCAGATGCAGAGGATGCAAGGCTCGTACGCTCTTTCGTCATTCCAGTTCCGGGGGAAGATGGGGAAGTTGGTGTGTGTGTGTATGTGTGTATGCGCGAGCAGCCACTTGATAGCCGTACAGCGCACCATGACGCGACGTGCGGTTGACCAGTGGTAGTTGAGGTGGTTGAGGTAGTTGTCGATAGATCTATGTCATATGGCGTCTTCTCCGTTGATGCCGGAGAGAGCTATCCAGGTCCCAGCCAAAACGTAATTCACATGAAACCCCTACACACGTATGTACATACATACATACATACATACATACATACATACATACATACATACATACATACATACATACATACATACATACATACATACATACATACATACATACATACATACTGGCACACACCGTTATCGATGTCCGTTCTGGTTGCGATACACGGCATCGTACCGTACTGCACCACACACGGTAATTTTCACCGTTAGAATTCCAACAAAAAGCCGAGCGAAGCCCTCCTGTTCCCCGCTAGGTGGTGAAGACAACGCGAGGTCTCCAGCCTGGAAGTCTATTTTCCTTCATATGATAGATGATATGGCCATAAAGACAGTCTCATCATGTCAGTGAAGTTGTGTGCCGGTAATTGTCATGAAATTTTCATGCTCCGTTGATGCTGTTGTGTTGTGTTGTGTTGCGTGGGCGATGTTATGCGATTTGGGGCTATGTGTGTGCGTGCGTGTGTATGTAGCGGTGTACGGCTGTATGTGGGTGGTAGCGGCCAGGCAGAGATCAGCCGGGGCAGCAGTGTACGATCAGGAGGGGGGTCCCGTTCGGGAGGTTGGATGATGTGTCTGGTTGGGTTTAGACCGGTGGCTGACGGGCTGAGGGCCTGACCGTCTTCTTCCGCCCGACCTCGCCCGACTAAACGCGAGGACAAGAAGCTGTGTGTGAGTGAGCGAGCACCGGTCATTGG